TGGTGTTCCCTAAAAACACAAAGTAACCAACCAGGAAGAAGAACTGAGTCTGTAACAGTGCCAGGTTAACAACGATCAGTCCCCCTGTCCCCAAAACCTTCCTCCCCAAGTCCCCATAAGTCAGGCTACGTTCCAGCCGCTTCTTTCGATTTGCTTGGATTACTAAGTCAGCAGCTGTTGGGGGGCCCTGCGATGAATACTTGCTCAGTATCTGCCGAATGAGTTCCTTTTTACAGTCCACGATGAGATGACAACAGTGGTCAGTTACAGTGGCAATAAGCAGCAGTCCACCCAAGCCCAGCTACAGGAGAAAAACAACAATGCATGTTATTGTGGGTTTTGAAGAAGAAGCACTTCAAACACAGATTGAGGTCATTTCCTGGTACCAAAATTGCATTCAAGTCACTGAGGTTTGATATAGTCTGTGATCTAATTGTAGCTCTGATTACATATGTTTGATTAAAGCAATCTAATTTTGTTTCTTGCTTTCTATTCTACACAGACTTACCCCAAGACCACTTTGTAAGAAGGCGAATGGCATGCCAATATAGTTGGACCCAATGAATGCCTTGACGATGTTGGCAAAGTCTGCTCCATACCGCACTAGTCTTGTTCTGGTGCTGTGAGTTAAAAGAGACAAGACAATGCAACATCTTTTAAAATACAATGTACTACATTAATCTCCTAGCAGATCATACAGTGGCAAGACAGTATCCATTGGTCAGAGGATACTGTCAGGCAAATGGAGACAGGCTGGCAAATTTGATACAATGGAACTTTTATTATAAATACTGTCTTTCCCCCAACAAAAGATCTGCTTGGAGATAATACTACATACCTAGCAACTTGTCTCACATCCCAACAATTCAGATGTACAAAAATGCCTTTTGATATTCAACCAATTGATGAAGGTCAGCATGTTCTTGGCGTACCATACGATATACAATTACGACTGGGCATACCCAGTGTCAAAGATGTTGGCCCCCAGGATGTAAACAAACCCCATCAGGCCATGTTCCTTTATTTGGGAGGGGGCAGCATGCGCAGTTTTTCTCACTATAATTTGGCTGTGACGACTTAACAGGGCGCAAAAGACACCAACTGAATGCCCAGGTAATCTTCCCCAGTAGATCGGGTAAATTATTATATTTATTACCCTTTTATAAACGCCACAGCGAATTTCCTTGAGTTTTGTAGGATGGTCCCAGGACACCAAAATAGTCATCAGGAGTTTAATAAATTTCCTAGCTAAGGGACCACACACTGGGTATGCATTTATAATTTCAACTCTGCCGTACTTGGCCAAATCAAGCCATCTCCGATTCGTGAAGAAAATTCTATGGAGTTTACAAGGCACTGGACCATCCACACAAGCCAACAGTGACAACCGTATGAGGAGCGGTCTAAACTGGAGAAGAAAATCCTACATGACCGAAGATCTACTCTACTCTACTCTTTACATAATTTTTTGAACCGCGAAGCTATTGCCCCCCTCCCCCTCATGTGAGCTCACTCACCTCGGTACTTCTGCCATGTTCACAGGGGCGTTCAGTTTCTTTCAGTGCGATTTAGTCTACCTGAAACTGCCTCCGGGTCTTGATCGTATTTTGAACGAAGGAATACTCGACTCAAGATGTACAAATAACGACGAATGTCCGCGTCTGGGCGCCGGTAACTACCTGGGTCGACCGGATCGCCCAGCCGCTTCCGCTTTACACCAAGTGACCCAAAAAAGCGCCGCCTAACGTAGGTCAGGAATACTGCAAATATATAAGTACTGTAGTATGCCCTTCGTGTCACTTAAAAAGTCTTTTGAGAGGTCAACTAGATGTAGATAAAACAGGTTCACATCTAGTCACAAGAAATGCCTTGAACTAAATGCTGAACGTTTGATTGAACTTCAAATTATGTGACGGTGTAGGTTTTGATCTTCAAGTACAGGTACCTTTCTATCAGCTCTAAATAGTGCACTTACATGTACAACCTTATACAAATGTAGTATAATTGGCATAATTCAGTAGACTGCTGAAAAAAATGCTCAAATGCTCAACAAACGTTTTAATAGTAATCTGCAAAAATCATTTACATTACATTTTTGACAGTACCCTGTTACACAGGTACCCAAGTGGCAACAGATCCAAAACGAGCATGCATAGATGTCTTCAAATTTGACTTCCATGCATGCAGATAGTTTCTGAACTCAAGAAATCTTCCCTTTGCATGCAAACATCAAAGGGATCTTGTACCTTTGTACCTGGTTCTCTTCATATTGCTCATAACCATGACTTTTCCTTCAAGCCGTGGGTAATGTACTTCATAGTTGTTTACAGTAGTCATTGTACATCTATATCTTTACAACATTGTATATAATCAGCATTTTCATATTCAAATCAACATCTGCTGCTTGTCTATACTATAGTTTTTCGACACAAAAGCACCATTAAGTTATCTCCAAAAATCCAACCTTGGAGTGTGCCTCTTACAAGTATACTCGAACTTTCATGCACTTGCAGAACCCAAATTGCTGCATCATTGTGTAACTATCAATTATGAATTTCAATGGCAAAAGGCACAACCATTTTAGCAACAATCACCATAGTAAGTACCACATATAAACATGCTTCTGCAACTACTGCTTTGTATTCGATAAGGCATACACCAAGTCTACATGCATTTAATGTTTTCTTGAGAAGTGCATCTGGTATATACACTAGCCTAGCCTGGATGCCAGACCCATATAGCACACTTTGTCTATGCCCTTCAGAGAAACCATTGTTTGTGATATGCTGTTTTTTTTTTTGAGAACAAGAACATGCTTCTGGCAAGCATGTCATCTAATCTGTTTTAGGCATGGCACCAGTGACATGCTTCTTGATAACTACACATCTTAGACAGGTAGCACTAACATAGCAGCCTTTTCACACTAATGTAGTGCAGCCTTTCTATGTGAGAAGTACACTCCCACATAATTTTTTGTCAACTCCACTATGTATGGAACGCATGAAAACAGACCAGCACCAAGCCAACTGAACATGTACAGTCACAGTAGCGTGAACAGTAGCTTTTTAACTGGTTCCAGATCACTTTCACAGGCACCAAGCCCACATGTACAATGGAAGAACATGCTAGTAGGTCACACTAACATTAGTGACTCCACCAGTGGTTTTACACATTGGGACTAATGAACTGCCATTAAGTACAATTGCTCCACATGAGAATAAAGTCCATGAGAATAAAGTCTACATTATAATAATATTCTGTACAGTAATTACATCTAAATGTAGTGTGGTGCTTGGACTGAACAAGATATGGGAAGAAGCAAGAATAGGGATTTTGCCGAAGACAACATGATACAGCTGTAACAAAATATCATGATGCAAGGGATGAATACAAGCATTGACAGTACTATTCAATGTCTTGAGTCTTAGAGGATATCTCTATTCAATGTCTTGAGTCTTAGAAGATATGTCAATGGTAAATGTCAAGCATAAATAAGAAAAAAAGTCCAGCCATTGTGTTATTGCTGTGTCATGCACATTCACTGTATCATGCCTTTTTAATTAACCCTGGCAAGCATTGACATCTGAGGGGACACTTTGAAAGTGGAACTGTTTTCTTGTTTGTCATTATGAGCTTTGACAATCTGAATCAAGGTTGAACCCCAAATTTTTTATTGACTTGAACTTCAGTATTTGTCAAGCATTTCAGTTGAAAATATGGGATGAGACTATTTTTTAGTGTGTGTGATGGAAATCATAGTTCAACCTTGATTCAGAATGACTTCTACTAACACAGATGAACTTTCAAGTTGACATGTGTGTGGTGATAGGTTCAGTTGGCCATGGCCCGGCCTGCGTCAGGGTGGGATGCCAGGTTCCCCAGACAGCCCCGGCTGCCCTTGTGGCTGGCATTGTAGGCGGCCTGGTGCAGCTGGCTTATGAAGTCTGGTAGTCCTACAGGTGAGAGAGAGGAAAGACATGTCTCTCATTGATATCATATCATACAAGAAAGGGCTCAGTCACATACGTCATATGGCTGCAAATGTGAATATGCAATCTTGAAATACCTCTCTATGTCAACGACTGAATGTACACTCAACCAGCTAAACTTGAAAGCTGGTCAAACATGTACCAGAAGACTGTCCATGTGCAACTGTGTAGCAATATTGTACGATCTAAGAGAAAATATAAGTGACACCTAATCTAGAAGACATGGTAAGACTTGACATACCAGAGCTTGCCATCCAGTTGATACAGTATGACGGGAAGAAGGCCTTGGGGTCATCATTGTAAGTCAGGATGTAGTCAAACCCATCCTGTACAAAAGAGAAAACACAAACATGTAACTTCCATAGATAGCACTGTAAATCATTTTTTGCGGCGGTTTTATTTTTGTGGTTTTCTCATGACTTCAATGAAAAGTTACCAGCAGGCCTATTTGAGTATTATGGGGGATGTGGTAAAGCCATTTGCTCCCAAGCAAATGTCGGCCTTTCTAGTCGAGTATTTCATTAATAAAGGCTCAAACCAACAAACCTCGTCAAATGTTCTGTGTGGCTTGATGACCATGTTGGAACTATAGGTGGCCACACGCACGTACTGGTTACTTTCTGGACAGGCAGGGTGCTCCACTGACCTGTAGGGAGGGGGGCAACAACATTGTGAACATTTTTTGTAGGTGTATGATATGCTCGCATAAAAGACAGAACTATACTGTGTTGTTTTAGAAAACCATGATACATGTACATTGAAAACATCCAGCGGCTTCTTACCTGGATGCCAGAACGATGATGTTTGCCTCAGTGTCTACTTTGTGTCGCCTCAGATACACATACTCTCGACTGTACATCGGGTACTATAGGAGAAGGGGAGACAAAATGGTTTTAGTGAATGAATTTGAACAAGACACCCCACAAACTGCCATGTCATGGCTGAACTTGAAGATTTGCCTATTCCATAGTACATGAGGCAAAATCACTTTGACCTCCAATTCAACCTTCCTGCCAGTCTGTGGTTACACCATTTCTACCATCACTTCCTGTGACTCTACTGTATTCAAGTAACCAGATTAACAAAAAACAAACACATCATACCCATAACAAAGGAAACCGTTGTCTTACCGGATAGTGCATGACCCAGTGGACGACCTCTGACCCATCATTATCATCCCTGTCAATCACTTCCAGCTTCAGCACCAGTTTGTCCCACTCTTTTCTATAGTTCAGGTCCAGCTGTAGGGCAGGGGTGGGAACATGTAAACTATCGCAAAATTACTGATAGAATTGCAAACATTTAGGCACTTCTTAAAAAAAAAATGGTCCTATAAAGCAATATACAACGCCAGAGGCAAAATCATAACACTTCAGCTATCAAAAATCAGGCTGGGTGAAAAGAATAATTATGGAAATGTCCAAGAGATATATCATCCTCACCTGAACATTGAAGAAGGTCCTAGCTGAGATGTCATGGAAGGTTCCATACACTACAGGGAAGACAGGTAGTTGGTAAGTGCAAATGACATGTAAACGTAAATTTACTCAATCATAAACTCACATCAGCTCACTGTTTGGTTTGTTTTTGCATTCCCTCTGTCATGGGACCAACAGAAAGGTTACAGATGTCACCTGTCCATAGTGGTAAAATTTGGGCAGTCCCACAAGTGATTTAGGGCTGTTTCTAGCTTCTAGTGGCCTGACAAGTGGAAGGGCTGCTAGAAGTGTAATGTAGTCTCAGGCTTACAACATTGTTAACACCAGAAAAGCATGAGTTTCCACATGCTAAAGTCTGACCTTTGTACTGGTAGAGACTGCTGCCCTCCATGGGTTTTCTCCACACCTTCAGATCTGTCCGGTCAATCACCCTCTCCCAGCTATTCAGGAAGGAGGAACAGCTGATATCGCTGTTCCTGCTATCCACATCTGTGCTGTTTCTGTTGTCCAACTCTGTGTTGGTCTGATGACTGCTATTTCTGTTGTTGGCATTGTTTTTCATTCTCTGGACATCCGACATATCCTGGATGTAACTGAACCAGGAAAAGACATATGTGTACATTGCCTAATGTTACTTTACATGTAATAAGATTTAATTTAGCACCATTTATATGACAGTGTTGACATGAAAGCTTGTTTTTTCTGTTACCGGGTACTCATGTTATACATGTAGCTGACAGTAACCTTTAGAATGCTGATTTGCCACTATAGATTACAATGTCAGAGGTGTGGGGTTACAACTGACTTGTTTGAAATACTTTTCTCAGAGGCCTGAAACTTACATATGTACAAGTCTCTTCATGTCAGACTGTTTCCAGAGCGAACACAGATAACCTGTCACCTCCTCAGCTCTAGATCCAACATGCCCCAAAGGAAATCATACCACAGTCCCTATAGTTTCACAGGGTCTAACTCTATTTTAGTACAAAGTGCAGCCAGTAACTGAACCAGACAGAACAGCCTGAAGGTCAGACAATGAAGGTCATTGTTTAGGGTATAAAAAGCTCAAGTTCAGATTACATTTTGGATGCCATCATGTAACTGTAAGTGGGCCAGAAAGCACAAAAATATCAACCTTTTGAAATAAGGGTTCATATCACATACCACTATGACATGGTCAGAAAACTGGGTGAAATATGTGGCTTGAAGGTCCTTGAAATGTCTGGTAGAGTTTGGCATAGACCAAGGGTAAACAAACTTGGCATGGGTCACAAGTTAGAGGCATGTCTGACTCATACAGAGTTTACTGTGAGC